CCCTCCAAGCCTGAGACCTTAACAGACACAAAATAATTTACTTCATATTGCTTATTATAACATATATCTCACAATGGTATTACTCAAGTCCTTTTCCGAGTAACTGAGATGTTAGGTGCTAGCTGAGACTTTAGTGTTATTATTTATTTTTTTTAGCTCACTGAGCTTATTGGGTGAGCTTAACTTATACAAAGCTGAACTGAGCTTAACTTATACAGTGTTCCCATCAAATCTTATGTGTGCCTACTGGACTGTCACTACTGTGAACTTTGAAGATGTAGTGTGGTCGCACATGCAACTGTGTGCTCCAGGAGTTGTGGAACTGAGATGACTCAGCAGCATGGGTTCTTAGCTGGACTGTTTATATGCCAAAGAAATCAGGTGTGGATGGACAACTGGGCCTTTTATCAGGGCAGAGACTTTGCCCACTTCCATCCTAAGAAGGTTTCAGAGGTCTGGGCCAGGAGATCAGGTTTACCTGGGTTAACTCAGCTGGATTGTCTCTCTCTAGATCTCTTCTTTTAGTGATCTTTATCCAGTTTTATGATTTACATATACCTATCTATCTCATTCTATTCTTATCATTTTTCTTCTTTTTTGTGGGGAGTCATACTTAGTCATTCTTAGAACTTACTCCTGTCTCGGTGCTCAGGGATCACTCATGGTAGGGCTCAGGGGACCATATGGGATGCCAGGTACTGAAACCAACTTGGTTGGTCGAGAGCAAGGTAAGCAGCCTACCCAATGTACTATTGTACCAACCCATTACCCATCATATTTCTGTCATCTATGACTATTACTAGCCACCTGCACTGTCAGGTTTTTGTGTTAAGAACATAATGTCATAAGTGTAGTTTGGGGACTGGAGCAATAGCACAACAAGTAGAGCACTTGCCTTGCATGCTGCCTACTTGAGTTCAATCCCTGGCATCCCACAGAGCTTACTTGTGTGTTCAGAAGCAAACCCTGAACACAGCTGAGTGTGGCCCCCAAACAAAACAAAACAAAGTGTAGTTTTGAGTAGTGGGTGGAGGGTAGGTATGTTATTTTAGAAATTATAGCATCAGAAGTAGGAGAAGTGGGGGCAGAGAAATAGTATAGTGGGTAGGGTGTTTACCTTGTATGTTGCTAACCTGGGTTTGATCCCCGGTACCCCATATGGTCCCCTATCCCATCAGGAGTGATTCCTAAGTGCAGAGACAGAAATAAAAACTGAGCGCCGCTGGGTGTGGCCCTCCCAAAAAACAAAACAAAACAAAACAAAACAAAAAGTAGTGGGAGGTGGCAGTGTTCTGAATTTATGTTGATGGTAGATAAAACAGGATTCTGATGGATTAGGTTTTGTTAGGGGAAAAAAGTCAAGAATGACACCAGGCCCGAATAAAGATAAAGTTGCCATTAATTGATGCAGTGAACACTTGTGATTGGAACATGCTGGTATGTGTGATTGGTGTTGTTCAGATATAGGAATTAGGCATTCATTTTTCTGTTTGAAATTGGATATCCAAATATATTTGTTGAAAGACAATTTGAATATGTGAGGCTGTACCTCATGAGATAGAGCTCCATTGTGCAGTCCTACATCCTGTTCATCATGTTGGTATAATACCTTGTATATAGCTTAGTACTAACATAATTTAAATGTTGAAATTTCTCATGATAAATTTACTATGCATATTCTGGAGTCCTCCATTAGATACATTGTCCTATTGAAGAATCCCTTATTTGACAGTTCTGATAATTAGGGTGCATCCCAGCCTTCAATTTGAATTCAAATACTGTATTAATTGCTACTCACTGTTCAAAATTTTGGGGATATGAGACACTATTGCAATCATTCAGACAGCAATGTATGAAAAATGAGACAGTAGAAATAAAAGAAACGTGTGTCTAGAGATGATAAAGTAGGTAGGGCACTTGCTTTTCACATGGCTGACCCTGGTTCAATCCCTAGCTCCCCCATGGGTCCCCCTAAGCACCACCAGGAGTGATCCCTAAGTGCAGAGCCAGGAATAAATTCTGAGCATAGCAGAGTGCTACCCTAAAACAAAACAAAAACAAAAAACAAAACAAAAGGAAGGCCAAAGTTGAAAGCTGTCAAAATTGGAACCAGAGACTAACAACATTTGGACTGAGCAAACAAGAGACAGTAGAAATAAAAGAAATGTGTGTCTAGAGATGTATGTATAGTGGGTAGGACATTTGGACTGAGCAAAAGCATGGGTTTATAGAACATGATTTCTTTATATTATAGAACAATATTTTGGACATGCGCACCTTGAAGCTCCTCTTGAATTTCTCCCACTTGGTGGGGCCCAGGTCCCCAGTGCCTTGGTCCAGCTCCTGCCTCTCAGAGAGCCTGGCAAGCTACCGAGAGTATCCCTTCTGCACGGGCAGAGCCTAGCAAGCTTCCCGTGGAGTATTTGATATGCCAAAACCAGTAACTATAACAGGTCTCATTCTCCTGACTTTGAAAGAGCCTCCAGTCACTGGGAAAAGATGAGTAAGAAGAGGCTGCTAAAATCTCAGGGCTGGGAGGAATAGAGACATTATGGTGCCTGCTTGAGTAAATTGATGATCAATGGGATGACAGTGATACAGTGATAAAACAATATGCTGGGTAAAAAGTGACTATTTAAAAAATTTGAATTTATCTGCACAGACTTTGACAAAAAAGCTCTATGCATATGGACAAAGTGAAACTTGGTATATTCACCTCCAAAATCCTGAAAGGACTTGATCTTGACTTATATTTGTTGCTCTGGGCTGGAGTGATAGCAGAGCGGTAGAGCATTTTCCTTGCACGCAGCCAACATGGCCAACCCAAGTTCGGTTCCTCTGCCCCTCTCGGAGAGCCCGGCAAGCTACCAAGAGTATCTCACCCTCACGGCAAAGCCTGGCAAGCTACCCGTGACATATTCTATATGCCAAACACAGTAACAAATCTCACAATGGAGATGTTACTGGGCCCGCTCGAGCAAATCGATGAACAACTGGAGGACAGGGACAGGGACAGTGACAGTGATTTGTTGCTCTATTCTTTTGAGTCTTTTTTTTTCCTTTCAGTTTTTGGGTCACACCCAACGATGGTCAGGGATTACTCATGGCTCTAAGCTGCTCAGGAATCACTCCTGGTGGCCCTCAGGGTACCATATGGGGTCCCGGTGGTCAAACCTGGGGCAGCTCTGTGCCAGGCAAACGCCTGACCTCTGCACTATCGCTCCTGCCCTTATTCTTTTGGATCTTTGTGAAAGCAAGAGAGCTACAGAAGATTCGCAGATGAATTCTTCAAAAGATCTAAGAGCTAAAGATCTTTTGAAGGGAGCAGAAAAGACTGATATTGTGCTTTTGACATCCTGTTATTTTAGTTGGATACTTTGTTGTGTTTTTGATCACACCAGAAGGGCTCAGGAGCCATCTGTAGCAGAGTATTTTGTGCAGGGGACCATGCAGTGCTGAGGATAAAACCTGGACCTCCTGACCAGCTGGCCATTCTAGGGGAAAGGGCAGCTCAGATAGAGAAGGGAGCACCAAATAAAGGGTGTTTGGAGGATCCTCCCAGGATGGGAGATGCATGTTGAAAGTAGACTATGGACCGAACATGATTGCCACTCAATGCCTCCTTTGCAGACCACAACACCCAAAAGGATAGAGAGAGCAAAAGGGAATGCCCTGCCACAGAGGCAGGGTGGGCTGGGGAGGATGGGGGTGGGAGGGTTACTGGGATCCATGGTGGTGGAAAATGGGCACTGGTGGAGGGATGGGCATTTGATCATTGTATAATCGAAACCCAAGCACAAAAATTTGTAAGTCTACAACTGTACCTCATGGTATTTCACTAATAAAAATCTAAAAAAAAAAAAACAAAAAAACTTGGACCTCCTGAAGGCAAAGCATGTACTCTAGCCTTTTGAGATATCTCCCTGGACCTGGGTGTGTGATTTTGATAAGCACGGAGCATTTCAAGGCTGGGGGGCACTGTAACAATTCCCTAAAAACCTTCCCTTCTAAAGGCAGCTCAGATAGAGAAGGGAACACCAAGTATGCGAGCCGAATGCAGACTATAGATCGAACACAATGGCCACTCAGTACCTCTAGTGCAAACTACAACACCCAAAAGGAAAGAGAGAACAAAAGGGAATGCCCTGCCTCAGAGGTGGGGTGAGATGGGGTGGGGATGGGGTGGGGTGGTGGGAGGGATACTGGCATCACTGGTGGTGGTGAATGGGCACTGGTGGAGGGATGGGTACTCGATCATTGTATGACTGAAACACAAGCTCGAAAGTTTGTAAGTCTGTAACTGTACCCCACAGTGACTCACTGATAAAAAATTAAAAATAAAACAAAACAAAACAAAAAACCTTCCCCTCTAGAGTGTGAGATTCCTGACTACTTATCTGTACTATCCTGCACTCTACATTACTCTTTGGGTCAGGGACACTAAAGAAAACAATGGCAGAAACCACACCAGGCTTTAACTTCAATGCATCTTAGACAAGGTCCTTCCTTCTGAAGTGCTCTTGTCCTTTTTTTTTTTTTCACTGCCCAATATAGGGCTGGAAGTTGTGTGGAATGCTGACCCAGTTTAAGTGCGAGGCCCTTTTAGCCTCCTTCCTGCTTTTCCCTTAACAAGTCACAGTGGAGAGAGGGAGCAGACAGACAACTCTTGCTTAGAGAAATAAGTGCTTTATGGATGGTGCTCTAGCCCACCTACATATGAAAAATAATTGACAGGAGCGGTTCTCTTCATGGGACGCAGACCCTGGGAACCTACAGACTTTTTTGATTGTGCCAGTCTTCTTGAGCAGACCAGCTTTCCCTCTAAAGAGAGTTGAATTATGATAGGTTCCTTAGTTGGGTGGCAAAGCCCTTCGAGGACAATGCCGAGGGCAGTGGCGGGGAAGACCCGGGGCTGAGGCAGAGTGGAGGTGGTGGGAGCAGGAGCGGCGCTGAAGCTTATTGTCTGGGAAACGGGGGCCATGCAGAGAGGCCATGCTCACCTGCTTCGGAGTGGGGGGACATTGGGCCTTGGGCTTCCCTCTTTGCTCCATGGGACTCTTGGCTGGAGCCAGGTTCCTTTGAACATTTTCTTTTCTGGTTACTTTCTCTGCTGAATAGAGCATGTGCTCCTCATGCCTATTGGCCATTGTCTTGGGGGGGTTAATAGAGTGCAGAAAGGATTTCATCTTACTTCTCAAGTCTGATTCTGCAAGGCTGGGCCTTTTGTGAGTAGGGACTGGCATTCTCTGGCCTTGCACAACTCGATTTTGCAATGTTTGGCCCTGCAATGGCTTCCTCTGCAGGGGTTGTTTCAGGAGAGCCTGGCCCTGAGACATGTGAGGCCGTGTGGACTGGGCATACTGAGCAACCCTTGCTGGTTTGAGGATGACATTCTCTTTGGTTTGGCTGCCTCTCAGGTTACTCTTCTCAGAGTGTTTTCTGTCATGGGTTCCTAGAGTCTGCTTTGGAAGCGTAAGCTGAAGGTTATCCCGGGGACTGCGTGGACAGGGCACATCCTGGAGAAAGTCAGGGCTTTGGTTCTGGAAACCATGGGATGCCCTGTGGTCTTCATCAGGGAGACTTTCTCTTATTGAAGCTAGTACAAACCCAGCATCCTCTTCTCCCTGGTTGCCCACATTTTTGGGTATCTCTCTATCTTCTTTCTTTTCTGCCAGTGTGGAGACTTGGGCTGAGTCCATACTTTTGCCAGAGCTATGAGACTCATGATCCGAAGGCTCTTCTACAATGGGGTTGCTCACAGTGGCTTCCAGTTGAACACAAAGCACCTGGGTCTCTGTGATCTCTCCACTGGGCTGTGAGATCTTGGCGACCCAGTTGTTAGAATCCTGGGGTACTTCACTGGCAAGAGGTTGCTTCTGATTCTGCAGTACCGCCTTTAACTCAATGCCTGACTGTGTTTTATGGTGGAGCTGGTCTGGATTTAGGTCACAAGGAGTATCTGCTGGGACGATGATATCGTCGGACAATGTTTTCTCTTTCTTGTTTAAAGTCCCAAGAGACTCCAGTGTGGTTATGATTTCTAGATTTCTTTTCCTGGACTCCTTTGCCTTAATAGGGATTCCCAACTGTACCTCGAGGATCTTCTTTTTCAGATGGAAATTGAGTTTGCCACATTTAGTGTTTTGGAGTAAGATGGATCTAAGAGGCTCTGACTCACTTTCTAGAGTCACTGGCTCAGCTACTTCTTCCATTTGTGCTTCAGCCTGGAAGTCATCTGCAGCATCAGCACAAGTGTTTTCAGTGTCTCTTGAGCATGGTTCAGGACTTAGACACAGCTTTTCTGATGAGATCTTCTGAGTCAGAGATTCGGCTGGGCTTTCTACAGCCTTTGGAAGCATCTCTGTCATTATAGCTTGGGTAATTCTTTCAGGGGACATGGCCCTGGAGAGAGTCACATAATAAAGAGCAGGAAACCCTGACAAGAAGGCCATATATTTGTGCCTCAACGTTACCTCCAGCTTCTCAAGGGCTGCCTTAGACAGGATTTGGGGTACCTTCGAGTGTGCAGGGACTGCATCTGATGGGTCTTGTTTCTGTTGATCAAGGGTCACTGGACTCCTGGGTATTGGTTCATCTTGTGAACCTGAATCAGTTGCTGCCTGTAACTCCAAGTTCTTGCTTTCTGGGATGCAGGTGAAAGGAGCTACTTTCAGATTTTCAGGAATACTATGTCCCCAGGAACTATATATACAGGCAGGGACGTTGCCCTGGAGAATCTGCCCACATTTTGAATGTATGTGGCTCTGTAATATTGCCTTGGCCTGGGCAAACAAGTGTGGTGTGTGAACTACCTCTGTGTGCATGAGATGTGAGAATGGCTCACCAGCTAAAGTGGCTTCTAGGTCTGTGGGCTTGGAGACACTCACATTGGTGTCTACTCCTGTTTTTCTCCATGACAGAGGCTGCTGGTCATTGTGGGACAGAACCAGCTTTCTGGGCTGCTGGGTCTTCTCATACAGGCTCCAGGGATGATGAATCAACTGCCTTTGGAGGTGAAAATCCAGTGGCCTCCTGGAATGCTCCAGAAAGAATAAGAATCCCCTGGTGTGGACTGAGGTAGGCTCCTGTGGCCAAGAAGTTTCCACTGTTCCAGAGGATGGGGATTTGTCATAGGGCATATGTTGCATGGGGCTCAGGACATGCTGAGAGCCTTGAAAAATTGCTGGCAAACCCCACTGCAGTTGGAATTGCTTCTGTAGCAAGTGCCACTCCAAAGCTTCACACTCAGCTAAAGTCAAAAATGGGACATTATTCTGAGTTTCCTGGCGTTCTGATGAAGGGATCTCATTTGAGGATGGTTGGAAAGAGGGTTGGACTGACTGGGGTGGTGTTTTAGGTAATAAGGGGAGAAGAGAGAGCTTTTGAAAGAGAAAATGATCCTTCATGGGCAGCCTAGACAAGCTCTCATTCAAGGACAATTCTTGAGAACACCATCCTGAATGCAGGGACTCACTATGCAAAGAAGGGAGGCCACAAAATAACTGTCTGTATTTTTGCTGCAAATCACTCATCGAATCATCAATCTGTTGGCCAGGAAGTGTATAGAAACTGTCTAAGTCTTTAAAAGCTGGAGAGGGTAAGACTAGAGACAGGTGGTTTTGGATTCGCTGATAGTGGTATTGATGTGCTGGGTCAATTATGGACCATTCTGAAACCCAGAAGGCCTGGGTGGGCTGGCCAGCCATACATGAACCCCAGGTCTGGTAAGATAAAGTCCCAAATCTTTCTATAGCCAAATTAGGAGGATAATGCTGGATGAAAGAAAGTGGTTGGTTGTTTTCAGGTTGGTAAAAGAGTGGTGGGTGTGGCATAAACTGCCTCATTGACTCCTCCACTCGTCTAGGAAGCCCCCACCTCTGGAAGTGCATCCATTTTTTCATATGTACTTCAAGCAGCCTCAGGATTTCAGGATTATAAATTGACGGGTGGGTCGGGTGCACAGTGACCATGTGCATGGCCACAGGGTGTGCCAGAGTATTGGCAGTTATATTTTGGTTCATAGTCAGCATTGGGACTGGGGGATTCAGGCCTTGATACCCACAGATAAAGTTGGGGCTTCTTTGCATCACTGCCTGCTGGATGTTAGGAGCATTAGGGTTTTCTGGCCTTAAATATAAACTGGTCTCTGGATCCTTGGGCACTTCTTTGACTTGAAATTCCTCGTTTAGCTGGTTGTGCTCAGCCCAATAATCATGGACGCTGGCTAAACTAGGTGACGGAGCATGCAACTGGGTGACGGAGCTCTGACTTTTGGTGTCTGACACCACAGGGTCGTCACATGGATGTGCCAGCTCGGTGGAGTGTGACAGGGATCGGTGCTCCAAATTCTGCTCAAAAGTCACAGTAGATTTGGATATAAACTCTGGGCAGGAAGTGCTCTGTAATGGCCTCTGTGCATTTTTGGAGATTGGAGTGTGCTCACCTGCCAGTAGCTGCTGAATCTCCAGAGCCACATCATTGCAGATGTCACAGCATGGATTTGCGCACAGGAGTTGCCGCACACTTCCTTCCTGAGGGTGCCAGCCCTGGCTGGGGAAGGAAACAGAGAAACAGTTATTAAGGGAGTGACACATACCTGCTTGGGCCTGTGTGGGCTGGGGCTGGCGCTGCTCTCCTCTAGGGCTGTAAACAACCCTGGGCTCAACACCCCATGGCTGTCTGGAGTACCGCTTTTTCTCAGAAACATGCAGCAGGAGTGGATTGCTGTCTGAGGAGTTGGGGCTGGTGGACAAAGTGTCTGACAACCACAAGCATGATAGTCCAGAAGTGGTGGGAAGTCTTTGCTGACCTGGAGGGGTCTGCCAACCCAAAAGCGGAGGATGTCTCTATTGACTGGGAAGTGGAGGAAGGTCTCTGCTAAGTGGGAAGTCTAGGTCTCTGATCACCCGGAAGTGTATGTGTAGGAAATCTCTGCTGCCCCATGTTGAGAAGCTGAAGCAGAGGAAGGGAAGCTGCCCATGGGGAGCTGGTGATGAACCTATGGGGCAGCCCCAGGAGATCACCAGCTAGTTCCTGGAGTCAGTCTTATTTGGGAATGAGAAGGCCCACAGCCTGATTCAGTGCTTCTACACTGAGGCAATGTGTCCAAGTGGGGACTCTGTATTCTGGGGACTGTGGGGTGAGCATGGTCTCTCTTGGGAACCCACCCCATCCTCTGGACATTTAGGCAGAGGATAAAATGCTGGGCTGGGGTCTGTGCCGGCTACTAGAGTCTCTGAAGGTGAACTAGAGAAGCCATCAGCAGGGGCAGCCAGACTCCCAGGCACCTGTCCTTGAAAGGTGCAGCTGGACAGAGATTGTGGCCATGGTGACTGATTTATGCACTCATGTATCCATTCTCTGGTGGCTGACAGCAAAGGTGTGTAGAGTCTTTCATGAACTCTCATGGAATCCAGTCACACCCGAATTTCAGACCACTATGAACATAACCCAGAGCAGATCTGAGTGCTTCTCCTGAGACCTGAGACTTCTCATCTCCTGGGCCCGGTAACCCATCTGAAGAGTGTTCCATCTCCAGTGTGCCCCTGCGCATATCCTTCTCCTTAGCCTCATCCTAGGCCAAGCTAAGAAATATTCACAGGCTTGGCAGGGAGTAGGACAATTGTAACAATGAATAAATCACCTTTTAATCACAGAAAGCAGTTTCTTTGGCTTCTCAAATTCTTCTTCAAAATGACTCCTAGCTGAGAAATCAGGAAAGAGTGTTACATTAGGAGAAGTTTCAAAGATGTGTGATAAGAAGCTGCAGATCTTTGAATGAAAGGAGAATTGAAATCCCAACCCCCAAGGATCTATGGCCTTCCTGTACATAACTTTATCAGCTATATGTGGTGTCTAAGACTTTTGATTGTAACTATCAGACTGAGGAAGGTAATATCATCAATGCCCATTTTATGAATAACAACACAGAGATAAAGTGACCTCCTTGGGGTCACAAAAGCCATAAATGACACAGTTGTAGAATTTCACCCTGCTTCTTACTCCCAGGAAGAAAAGTGGAGAGTTTTGGGATATTCCCAGGTTATGATTTCCCACTCAAGAAAGTCTTCTTGGAGAATTTTCCAATTTGTATCTTGAAGGCTTCAGTGGTGAGAGCACCTGGTTCCTGGCATAAGGGCTCTTTGAGGGCCAGGATCCATGATGCCTTCACCCTCAGTGCAGGTTATGAGAGATGACGGGCAGAGAATGGAACTTTACCTCTTGATGCTGCGTTTCTTGACCTTAGCTTAACTTTCCGGTAATGCTTAAAGAGAAAAAAAATTAGTGGGTAAATGTAGAATGCCATATTTTAAAAAATTGTTTTGGGGTCATTCCTAGTGATGCATGGGGGCTACTCCTGGCTTGGTGTTCAGGGTTGTCTCTTGGCAGATCCAGACCCATGTGGTATAAGGACTGAAGTGGGGTCTCTACACCCAGCACAGGTACTCTATCCTTTTGAGCTCTCTTTCTGGCTCCAAATTTTATATACTTTTTCTTGCCTAAAATGAGAAAAAGAATAAAGCAGTTCCTCATCATTGTATTCAACTACTTCTATTTTAATTTACTTTCCTATCTTTCCTTCCATACTCCTAACTACATTTTCCACTTCTCTCCTCTCTGAATCATTTTGAGGTTCCTCCTTATTCTAATCCTCCCACTAAATTCTCACATAAGTACTATTAAATGAGGCTTCTATTGGAAAGAGAGAGAAAAGAAAAAGATTCAAGGCTGGGCAGCTCTAATCACAGCAGACTGTTGGGACAAAGAGATGTTTAGATGCTTGCCTTAAATGAGACCCACCAATCAACAGAACTGGGAATGGGTGACCTCCCCGTATCTCCTACTGTTTCTGGCAACTTGGCAGTCACTCTGGCTGGTGCCATATAGTCTCATCAATGGCCATGATCTAGAGACTCAATATAAATCTCTCAGAAGAGAGCATAAAACAACTCACCATAGCCATGCCGCCGGATCCCACGCCAAGCTGTTTCATTTGGGGCAACCCAGAGGGGGGTGGGTGAGGCCCCTCCGAGCCCCAAGGAGCCAGCTCTGGCAGCCAAAAACCTCCAGAACTCAACTGCCGCCATGCGTATGGCTGCTCTCCACACGCTCGGACCGAACCTCACCCACGAATGAACCTATTCCTGGCCAAGGAATATCTCATACCTCACACCATTAATATTCCAAGAGTAGCACACCACATTTGATGGAATTTAAAGTAGAAAGCAACCAATCTTAGAAGGAAATATATTTTTACAGATATAAGTACACAACGCTCAAACTTCAATAACATGTTAGTAATCTCTTATAGAAGGCTTAATGGCCCCTGGGTGAGATACAACAATCTACACACACTTTCCTCTAAGGAAACTTTTTTGTATCATTTTCAGTGTTTTTTTTTTCATAAGAATAAAAAAATTATTTTGGTTCTACTTTGGGGCAGGGGTTGGGGTTCGGGATGGAAACATCCAAAATATGGTGATGGTAAAATGTAATGGTGGTGGGATTATGGTCGAATATTAAATGTAATAAAATATTGTGAACTACTTTATAAAAATAAAATTAAAAAGTGAGATCCACTAAAATTGGATCTTCTGTACTACACATATTCCCCTGAACACTGCCAGGGCTCATTCCTGAGTACAAAGTCAGGAGAAGGCCCTAGGCAAGGTGTGTCCCCAAAGCAAACAAAAAAAAAACCCAGAAATAACAGGAGACTTATGTTTACAGCTGTCTTAATAGACTGCCAAACAGAATAATCTCCCATATCAGAAGGTTTTCTGTATCTTTTGAGATAGATTTCCTCTAAGAACTCAACCTAAAGCAGGTAGATATTTCAATTCACATTATAATTAGATTACACTGCTGGGATGTCCTGGTAATCAATGATCTGGGCTCTGAGAAGGAAAATACTCCAAAGATGAACTATATGTGTGGTATTCAACTTGTCTGGTAGGTAGAAGATTCTCCTCTGGGGTTTAGTAAGTTCAATGGAGTCGTAGTTTTTCCCTACCTGGCAGTAGCTCCTTTTAGATTTCAGTGTAATTCTATGGTAATTCCTTTTAAGTTGCCAGATAATTAGGATAATAATAAAAATAGAACCATATATATATAGGGGATAGCCAACATCCCACAGAACAAAAGTAGGGCTCAGCATGGCCTCAGCCACATCAGTCTGAGACCAGTCATGTGTATAGGCTTTCAGATTCCAGGTGCCTAGTATCTCCAATACTGAGCTGTGTCATGGTAACCTCACAGATGATGGAACCAGGGCTCACAATGCATCACAAAGCCCTCCTATATCTCAAGGAAGTGCTGTGTTCTAGACCTTCCTTTGAGGAAACCTTTTTATTTTTGGTTTATTTGTTTGTTTTGGTTCAGGGGCCAAACCTGGTGATGCTCAGGGGTTACTTATGGCTCTGCACTCACAAATTACTCTTGGCTGTGCTCAGGGGACCATGTAGGATACTGGGCATTGAATAATCTCTCTGGCCCCCTGAGGGAAAGTGGGTTTAGGCTATATATGAGAGTGTCTGTGTTATTGTTATTTTTTTTTGGTAAGGGTTACAGAGGGGACTAAATTGTCCTCTCACCGTGTCTGTGTTACCACTATCTCTTCATTTTCCACACTGTAATCCAGCCCCATGGCCCAGTGTTTTCCTGCATGGTAACTCTCTGGAAAATGGGTGTTTAGGAATCAGAGTACTTCTGAACAATCATGACTGATAGGGGAAACTTGACAGATTTTCCCACCTATACTGGAAATACATCTATTAGTGTACAAAAGCATCTACACAGACTATGGGGATAGCACAGTCCAGTTAAGATCAAATGGACAACTTTGATCTTATAGGTGATGGATGATCATTATGCAGAAGTACTAAAGGGAAGCATGAATAATATGGTAGGAAAATGTCAAGTAGGCTTTTTTGGGTCCTGTGGCAGTGCTTGGAGCTGCTTCCAGTGCTTAGGCGGGACCATGAGGTCTAGGGAATCCAACCTGGACATCCTGCATGTAAAGTATGCATTTCATCAATTTAATTATATTCCTGGATCCCTAAAGTTGACTCTTTTTTAAATGTAAATATTTAGAGGAAGGGGATTTTCCAGTCTGTGTTGGGTGAAGACAAGACATATATGCTCATGCATGCATGTATGCGCTCCCTTCTGGTGCACCATTCAGAGTTTTGTTTTTCAGAGCTGAGTCTAATTTTGTGACTCCATTCTGATGTCAGGAAGATTAGTTTTTGTATAGATTAGTGGCCACTTCCAACTAAGAGGTACAAACTAATTCGTATCTGGTAACTTATTTTTTTGTTGTTGTTTTTGTGTCACACCCGGCGATGCTCAGGGATTACTCCTGGCTTTACACTCAGGAGTTACTCCTGGCAGTGCTCAGGGGACCATATGGGATGCTGGGAATTGAACCCGGGTCGGCCGCATGCAAGGAAAACTCCCTACCCGCTGTGCTATTGCTCCAGCCCCTCGTCTGGTAACTTATTTATCTACTCTGGATATATGATACTAATCAGAGAGAATATTTTCTTTTCAACCTGAATTTTGGGAATGTATGCAGAAAGATATTTGTTTTGTTGGTAAGAAATAATATCTGTTTCTAATCAGCACCTGAATCAATCACTCCTCCACCCTGACTATACTACCTTATAACTTTAATATACAAGGATTCTGAAATTGTTTGAGAAAGTCTTTTTCTGGTGACAGTGACATAGGCGACATAGGCCAAAAAAATTATTAGGCATGAAAATTCTGAAGAGACAATTTGGTTCTACTTTCAATAACAAATCCTCCAACTAGCTGGCATGGCAAGCCCTCAGTTCCCTAAACTGGGCAGTCTCAAGTGTATAAAAAATCTAGTCATGTTGCCTTCCTATTCTCAAAACATGTAACTACTATCTAGTTTCTAAATAAATATTAATTCACCCAAAGTTAGAGCCAAGAATCTAGAATAAATAGAATCATATACTCTCTTGTGAGGTACAGGTTACAGATATTATATTTCAGAGAGTGAGCATGGTTAAGATCAAAGTGGTCAGAGGAACTTGTGGATAAAGAGGGACATTGAAGTTAGAGGTGCAGCCTGTGGAGGCTGCTATATTTATATATTAAATATATATTTAATATATAAATATATATATTTAATATTTAATATATAAATATAGCATATATTTCAGATGGGATAGAAATTTACCAGTAAGTGCAGGGTCACTGAGGAATAGACCACAGAGAGTATATGTTAGTAAGAAATGAATTCTAAAGTTGGAGAGATATAACAGTGGGTAAGGCATTTGTCTTGTACCTGGCCATTGTAGGTTTGATCCTCAGCATCCCATTGGTACCCCAAGCTCTACCAGGAGTGATCTTTAACTTCGAGCCAGGAGTAAACTCTAAGTATTGCTGGGTGTGGCTCCAAAGCAACAAAACAAAACAAAATAAAAAGAAATTATATATCTAGTAGATATTGGGCAGGTGAAGTGGAGAGGATGTGGGAAAATATTGGAGGAGGAGAGATGAAGTCTCTTTCTCTCTCTCTTTTTTTTTCTTTTTGGGTCACACCTGGCTATGCACAGGGCTTACTCTTGGCTCTGCACTCAGGAATTGCTCCTGGTGGTACTCGGGGAACCATTTGGGATGCTGGGAATCGAACCCAGGTTGGCTGCATGCGACACAAACTCCCTACCTTCTGTGCTATCACTCCAGCCCCTGGGATGAAGTCTCTTGGGGAGGTATTTCTTTTTTAAAAATGACAAATTATTTAAAAAATCAGTTGAAATACATCCAACTGATTTAAGAAAAATTCTAAAGGTAGGAAGTATATACAATATCTGTTTCTCATCCTTGCCATCTCTTTTCTCTTCTCTGTGTATCTTTTAGAATCATCAATAGCTCAGAGCCAGGAGTTTACCCTGAGTATCGCTGGGTGTGACCCCAAACCAAAAAACAAAACCAAAACAAAACAAAAATAGAAATGAATTATCAGCAATTTGTTGGAGAATTTATTTTAAAACATTGTTATTGACTAATTGTCCCATAAACTGAATAAATCTGTGTTCTTTTGAAATATGTGTGAGGGTGCCTCTTTTTCCACACTAGTGCAGTATAATAGAATTTTGCCAATTTTGAAATTCATATTTATATTGCCAATCCAAGAAATGACAAATTGTACCCTTAACACCTCATATAGCTCCCCGAATCCCTCTAAGAGTGATCCCTGACTGCAGAGCCATGAGTAAGCCCTGACCACCATCAGGCTTGGCTCAAAGAACAGCAGCAACAAAAGAAATAAAAAATAAATACGGGCTAAGGACAGGGAAAATGGTCCAAAAAGTTGTAACATATTTTTCATGCAGAAAATGTGGGTTTAGTCATTAGTATTACATGGTCCACCAAGCACCACCAAACTAGTTCCTGAGAACCACCATATGTGTACTACCTCCCAAAGGAAATAATGGTCAAGAAAATTCCCAAAGGCTGAAGAGATAGTACAGTGGGTAAGGCCTTGCATGTGGTCAACTCATGTTTGATCCTAGGCACCACACATAGTCCCCTAACCTGCCAGGAGTGATTTCTGAGTAGAACCAAGGGTTATCCATGAGCATAATATTCTGTGGCCTATAAACAAACAAATAAAAAATCCCCCGAAAAATAAAGGTTTTAAAATAAATGATAGATACCAAACAACTTAATCACTTAATCACTTAACTTCCCGTTAGTCGTCGATTTGCTCGAGCGGGCGCCAGTAACGTCTCCATTTGTCCCTGTCGCGTGCTAGTGTAGCCCAATGGCATCTCTTCGCTCCGGGAACATGGAGGGCCTCAAACCGATCGTTCATGATCTTGACAAAGAAGTCTGACCATCTGGTAGGTGGGCGGCCACGCGGTCTCTTGACATCCCGTGGAATCCAATCAGTAACAGCTCTAGTCCAGCGGTCGTCTTTAAATCTCATTACGTGACCAGCCCATCTGATTTTCGACACCTTGGCATATGAGACAGCGTCCCTGATCCTTGATCGTCGACGGATGTCAGAACTCCGGATTCGTTCTCTCATTTGAGTGAAACGTGTTATTCCAAGCATAGCTCTTTCTATTCTTCTTTGGGAGACCTGAATGGCGTTCTCATCTTGTTTGCGTAGGGCCCAGGTCTCTGAGGCATATGTTAATGCAGGAAGAACAGTGGAATCAAAGAGATGTGCCCGGAGCCGGAGGTTCTTCGTCCTCTTAGCTATTTCTTCTATGTTCTTGAAGGCGTTCCAAGCCGCTCTCTTCCTCCTGCGCAGCTCGGGTGCCAGGTCATTTCTCATGTTGACCTCTCGACCTAGGTACACATAGCTGTTGCATTCGGAGATGGTCGTTCCATTGAGAGCGAATGGGGCGTCAGGAACAAGGCTGTTTCTCATAAACATTGTCTTCGTAAGATTCAGCTGTAGTCCTACCTTTCCACACTCACGGTCAAAGTCGGCCAGCATTTGTGCCGCTTGGCTGATGTTTGGTGTTATTAAAACAATGTCATCAGCAAAGCGGAGGTGGTGTAGTTGCCGACCATCTATCTTCACTCCCATTCCTTCCCATTCCAGTTGTCGCATGATGTTCTCGAGGGTGGCACTGAAGAGTTTCGGTGAAATGGTATCACCCTGCCGCACCCCTCTCTTGACATCAACGATCACTTCTTTGTAGAATGGTGAGATCCTGGTAGTGAATCCGCAATACAGCTCACGGAGGATCCTGATGTATTGGGCTTGAATGCCCTGATTGGCTAGGGCTTCAATGACCGCTTCCGTCTCAACAGAATCAAAGGCCTTCTTTAAATCAATGAACGTTAAGCAGAGTGGCATCTTGAACTCCTGAGAAACCTCAATGAGCTTGGTTACCGTGTGGATATGGTCGATGGTGCTGAATCCTTTGCGGAACCCTGCTTGCTCGCATGGTTGTCCTTCATCTAGTGTTCTGCCAATCCTATTCAGGATGACTCGAGTGAACAGCTTGTAGATGACAGAAAATAGGCAGATCGGGCGATAGTTGCCAATGTCATGGATGTCTCCCTTCTTGAACAGTAGTACGGTCCTGCTGGTTTTCCATTGGGACGGAACCTTGCATTCAGACAGGTAGCGAGTGAAGAGCCGAGCCAGTGTATTGATGAGTACTGACGGCAGGTTCTTCAGGTGTTCAGGTCTGACCTTGTCTGGGCCGGGTGCTGTTTGCTTCTTTACCAACGAAATGGCGTGTCGGATTTCGGAAGGGAGAACGGAAGGGAGATGCCATTGTTGACAACATTGACGAGGAATACGATCGACTGGTTCAGCACCTCCATGAATGTGCGAGGAACGCCAAGAGAGAGATAGCCACAAAAAGTCGCCTATCTTCGAAAACTCTTGAGCTAATTCGCCAGCGTGGTTTGGCGCATGCCTCAGGCAACCGCAAGCTAACGTCTGAGCTTGCAAAGCAGTGCAGAGATGCGATCAAGGAAGACCTCAAAGAGAGAAGAGCAGAAGTACTGGTAGATGCGGCAGAAGCCGGGAAAAGTATTCGTAAGGCCCGCCTGTCCTTCGCCAACTATAAGAGCAAGATGACTGCCCTCCGACGTCCTGATGGATCCATCACATCCTCCAGAACGGCAATGGAGAAGATTATC